TATTCCAAAAACCATTGGGCATAATCCAAATACGTGTTTGGTTAATAGTAGGGCATATTCATTAAGGGTTTGCATGTAGCGATTTCACATCGTAGAATGTGTCAGCCGCTATGTTGTTCCATTTTAGTCTTGCTTTCCTGTGACTGCAATATGATTTTTATGGGTCTATTTTGGGTGATTTTTTCTCTGTGTGATCTAGCTCCAAACGAACTGTTTTTTCTTGAAGAAAAAAGCCAAGCATTTCTGAATACTTAGCTTTACAGGAGAAACTCAAAAGGCTTCCAACATACAGCTTTTGTAAAACTAGAAAAACGAGAAATAGTTCTAGGATATAATGAGATGGATATATATTCTGTAGCTGGATGTTTTGAAAATTGTAAATTTTGGTCTGTTCACCGTCTGCATGACTGTTTATGAGAGAACTTTTAGTAGAGAAATGTTATATGTTATTCAACTTGAGATCTTTAATACTGTTTTTTTATTTTATTGTTTAGAAGCAAGAGATCAATGAGCCTTTTATGGATGTATTGGGTTTATCCTATTTATACACTAAACACCACTCTTCGATAAAACTGATTATCATTATTGAAAAATGTGAGTAGAGAAATCAAAGGTTGCATATCTTGATTTTCTTTCATTTTCATTATGGCAATAGGTTGTAAACATTGAAGTGTGCTTCTGTAAAACAATATTTTTCTTCATTAGTTTAACATATGCATCCATATTGTTACGTGTATAAATTAGAGCTGCAAAAGGTTTTCTAGTGATAGACTGTAAACTTTTTTTTTCTTTCTGGGGCTTTTGTCTGATACCCTTGTAGTCTGTACAATAAATTTTATGAACGTAAGAATTCTTTTTAAGTGTTTCAACCATGTTTTTCTTGGTTCAATTTTTATTTTATTACTTTCTGTCATTTTAATTTCAGTCATACACTTAAGAATTTATTCTCTATTGATAATATGAGAATATTAAATGACTGATTCTTCCTTCAGGTTTTTTTTTTCTTCTTTTAAAAGGTATGTCAAATTTGCTGCAACTAACAATGGGATAAGAGCAGTTTGATTAATATATGATGAATAGGAATCTGACTGATGTACAAAAATTTCTTACCGTAATTTATGGAGGTAAAATTTTTCTTTGCAGTTTATACCTAAAAGTTGCAATATTAAATCTATAGACAATGAGATATATGCTCATTACACCTATAACAAATGCAAAAGTTATGTTTAATTTTATAGCGCTCGAAACTAGTGGAGAAGAGGATAAAAGGAGTCTTTGTAATTTAATCATTCCTGAAAGTTTTTTACCAGGGCTCGAAACCATAGTTGCCATTACTATCTTTGATCATACCACCAGCTACAGTTCAGGGTCACCAAAAGCATATCCATCCATGTTAAGCTTGTACTACGTTAGAGGAGTCTTTCACCCAATTCAAGGGTTTCTAGATTGCTTATTAATAAGTGTCTGCTGGTGTCGCAGTCAGACTGCCTAGAAATCTAGGGCTACAGTAATGATGTGAGAACTAGAGGAGATAATGATATGATTAGCATCTTCAGAAATAGTTCGTTTACTTTTCTTCCACAGGATTCATACAGCAGTTGAAAAAATTATCTTTCAGCTAGTAGCTCCATGCGAACTCACATTGGTGCTAAGTGTTTGAAAAAACTTGTGAGCTATTAAATGCTATTGTTAACCAAGACAAATTTTAAATTACCCTAGACAGTTTTAAAACTTCCATCATTGTTATAATTTTTGCACGACAACTTTTTTCCTTGTGATGCGCTTATAAGAGTTCTTCTCTTCTACACCTCCAGTAACACGCAACCAAGCTTATTTTGCTGCCCCTTACGCTGTCTCATCTGTAAAGATCTCTCATTGCCAACTCCACCACCATTTCTTGTACTCTCTTTGTTGCTATTGCAGATCCCTTACCACTCTCAATTTCTTTTAAGTTTATGTTTCTATAATCAATCTCAACTTGCATTGTTTATTGATGAAAGTAAAAAAGTTAATCTGAAGAGAAGTAGAACAAATAAAACTTTCTTTTTAGCCTTTATTAGTTTGTGTTTCTTGCTTTTGTTCAATTGGTTTATGGGTTATTTTGATGTCTGTGTTACGTAATGATATATTCTTTTGTTTCCTTCAATTTTGTTGCCGTTTAATCAGTTTCGGGGGTGTTTTTTTGGTTGATTTTCATTTTTGATGCTTATTGCTTCTTAATCAGTTTATTGATTCTTGAATGTTTATGTTACTTTTTTTTTCCTTTTGAGATGTTTGTAGGTTTAAGATTAAACAATAAGTTTATCTAGTTAGACAATAATCC